CCCCTCCCCCCACCTCTATTCCAATGCCTAACCGCCAAACCTTACAAAGTTATGATGATTGCTGAGAGGTAGGTGAAAACCAAGTGGCCAAATGCCAATCTGCCAAATGGAAAAAATTCCTACCTGGCCCCCATTTCAAAACGGGCGACCAAACGAAGTTCAAAGCAAGGCCAATAGCGAAACCTGAAAAAGGGAGTGGGAGGGCGGGAGAACCACAGTGCGAGGCAAAAGGGAACGAAATGGCGTTGCATCGCGGTTTAAATTGTCCCGGCCATGCCCTCAAGCCTCCTTATTGGGTGCTCGTTGCTGTGACATGACTGGGACACCTCGCCATGACGCAGGACGTTGTCCCACCCACGCCAAGGTGGGAGGAAGTGTGCCCGGGAGGCCAGTGCACCACACGCCCCCACTGTGAGGCGGAAGCGACTTCTAGGATGAACATGTGAATAGTTCAGTCTTGTGATTAAGGTCTCAACATTTGTGTTCAATCTGTGCTGGTTCATTTGTAGTATTTTTATTCTCAAATCAGCACAGATTTAGTGAACAAGCATTTTTAGTCATAATATCATTCCCCAACTGCATGGTGTCTTTTTGCAGAGGGGACAATAAGGCTGACGTTCCCAAGACTACTTGCAACTGTGATACAACATTAATCTAAATAACCAGAATAAGCAACCATTCTTTATTGTTGTTATGTTTTGGTTTAATTATTGGGTTATTGTTTTGTTGTTTTGGTTTAATTATTTACTTGTGTTTTGTCTTGTATTTTATTCTGTGAACAGCTCTGGGATTTCTTGATGAAGGGGAGTATATAAATAATGACCAGTTGGACATTGGCTGTGACTCTGTATTCTAAAAATACCACAAAGCATAAAATTAAAACTATTTTCCAGGAGTTCCCATTAATGTTATTCGACGTCATGCTAGATTAAATAAATGATAGATTGAATGAAAAATCGCCTCCCATAATTTGAGCATACTGACTAAAACTTGATCTATGATGTATGTTATGATTTTTTTGGAAGAGAACACCAGGACATTCACTTCATGTTCCCAAATGCTAAAACTGTCTATCCACCTGCTCCTGGCAATCCTGAAGAAGATAAACAGCTTGTTAGGGTAATGAAATCCATAAATGTTTTCTTACAGGAAATTAGTTTTAGAGGCACATGTAATCAGTGTGAGCCATGCTATTTCCTTTCAAGTTGGAATGTTGAGAATTGGCTTAGCATGATTCATACAGAGTAATAGATGATGCATGCTTGGTGGTTTTATGGATGGGGAAAGTGGCTTACACTAGAAGGGTTTGCTGACCTCTGCCTTGCGGAATCACTGTGGCATACTGGGATGGAGAGTGGAAAGGGTGGTCAGTGTGGTCAGTGTGGTGCAAACAAGCCCGCGGAGCCAATCTGGTGCTCCTGCTGGCACATTTACATTGCACTGACTTCACCATTGCTGTGCCCCTCCCTCATCCATCCCGCTGCTGCACCAGCCCAACCAGATACAGTGGTACCTCAGGTTACATACGCTTCAGGTTACATACGCTTCAGGTTACAGACTCCGCTAACCCAGAAATAGTACCTTGGGTTAAGAACTTTGCTTCAGGATGAGAACAGAAATCGTGCTCCGGTGGCGTGGCAGCAGCAGGCGGCCCCATTAGCTAAAGTGGTGCTTCAGGTGAAGAACAGTTTCAGGTTAAGAACGGACCTCCGGAACAAATTAAGTACTTAACCCGAGGTACCACTATAGAAATAAAAAGATTGCTGCAGCCCCATCCCGCCGTCGACTGCTGCATATGACTCATTGGGCTCCTCATCCCAATTATGCCCCCATTCTTTCCAGCCACCATATCCTCCCTAAACAACCTAACTTAAAAGATTATCCATTGCATTGCCAATGCACCATTTTGTTGTATGGTTATTTTTGCCATGTGTTTTATTTTTTTTTACCCCTAACTCTCTGGTGTTTTCCCCCAACCAACTTTTAAACTGAAAAAAGAATAATAAATCCTAATGCAGTTTGTTGATCAGTTCAACTTTCCCTTTAAGCCATAATTGAAAGGAAGCTTTCAGCTCTAGGATGAAAGACGTGAATAACAAACCCATTCTGTAACATGAGGAACTCTTGTTACTTCCCCTGCGATTCACCCCAGGAAGAGACTGGAGAGGACTTTGGGCTCTAGCTGCTCATTCACTTCCTCTCCCAGTCTCTGCGGCCCTCTCCTTGCTCCTCTCACCAAAAAGTGCACTGGATAATTTTATAACACTTTGAATATGGCATCTCACTTTACTTGAGGAGATTAACCAATTGTTAACTCTGTGTGACAGCTCCAAAAGGCTACAGAGAGAAATATCCGTGTTCACAGAAAGAAGGTACATTATTAAAAGTTTGTATACTTCCTGGCTGAGGAATCAACATGCTGTTTCATTTTCTCGTTGAAATCACTCGTAGTGGCAACCAGCATGCTGAACTATGGCTCTACCGACAGCTATCCATGAAATGAAGCTTAAATAAAGTTACCATATCAGTATTGCTCCGCTGGACCCTCTTGGTTTTGCACAAATAAAGTAAACCCATTAAAGGTAGTTGACATGACTAACTTACATCCATTAATATCAATGGGTCTACTCTGAGCAAAGCATATTTGGCTGCACCCAACTGTCACTAAGCCCTTTTCTTCCATTGATGTGTGACAAACCAGAGACAAGTCAGTTGCTTTTACATGAGTAAAATTTATTTTAATGACAGAAGAGGGTTAGAATGGGTTTTATTAATTAATTTTCTTCTGAGTTGCATATTGAATGGCTTTTATATGAATTGTGAAGCACTTTCAGACAAAAGTTGTGTGTGTGTATTGTGGCAAAGGGATGATGTAAAAGAATAATTATTGTCGGTGTAAAAATAGTAGCCTAATAATTACGTGAACCATAATACTCTGTTGTTGACTTTAAGGATATTCAAATGGGTGTAAGTAAATTATAGTATTAAAGGATGCAAGTTTGTGCTGTGAGTCATGCTGACCAACAGAGTTTAAATTCAGTTGGCTAGCAGAATAAGTAATTGCCTGACTATGGTTTAAAGAGCTATTCTGGTCATATTAATTATAGAGAAGAAAAACTGAATATGTGTGTTTTTAAGGTAAAGAGGTGTGTGGGTGTAGAGAAATATGACTGCGGGAGTACAGCAGGAAGGAGACAGAATGTGATTTTGCAGTACATTATTGTGGGATTTAATACGAAAATCTGAACGCTTTGGAAAAAAGAATTCTAAAATAGCATGTTATAATTCTGCAACCTTGTGCAGTAGTTGATTACAGGGACATAAACCGGAATTGTTTGGGTATTTGTAACACTTTCTTAACTCATTGTGTATGGGAGGCAGATGAGTGGTATCTTTTTATAGCAGAGGAGAAGTTGATGGGGGGAAACACTTCTGCAAAAAACCTTATTGCCATTTGCTCTGATACAGTGGCAAAATGTGGGTTTACCCAGGGAAACAACAAAAACAAAACCTCTCAGGCATGGAGCTTTAAAGCCCAGATCTGTGTCTAGAAATGCAGCACAAAAGGAAGACATGGTATGGAAGCCCCATGCAGGGGTGTTTTTTTTTTGGGGGGGGAGGTTTTAGTAGGAACAGTTTAAAGGCGCACTATCCCACTGCTCTTGCACTCCCATTCACAACTTTCAGTGTTGCTTTTCAGCAGTAAGAGGGAATGTCAAGTATCTGCATGACTAGTTTATCTCTAGATTTATGGGATCAGTCTTTTCTGAGATTGGAAACTTTCAGTTTCCATCCGAAAACATGAGTAATTTATGCAGGCTAGTTAACACAAAAATAAATGGGTCAGATATGCTGATGGTATATCTCTGGTAATGCATATGCTTTTGACCTGATTTATACTACAGTGGATGCTCAGGTTGCGAACGTGATCCGTGTGGGAGGCACGTTCGCAACCCGCAGCGTTCACAACCCACAGCACCACGTCTGTGCACGCATGGGTCGTGATTCAGCGCTTCTGCACATGCGCAAAGTGCGATTTAGTTATTCTGTGCATGCGCGAGCACTGAAACCCGGAAGTAACCCATTCTGGTACTTCTGGGTTCGGCGCGGTGCACAACCCGAAATAACGCAACCTGAAGCATCTGTAACCCAAGGTATAACTGTATTGGTTAACTACAGAAGTTCAGTTTCACTGCTACTTGTATTCAAGGATCGTGATGCATTAATATTTTCTCTAGGTGATTATTGCTATGCATTGGTCCTTAACTGTTATCAGTAGAGAAAGGAAGAGATGATATACAGGTGCCTTTTTAGGAATTAAAAGTAAGTGATTAGAACAACAGGTAAACAACAGTACATCAGTTGTAGCCCTTTGGGCTCCAGAATGTTACCAAAACAATACAAAATAAATAACATACCTTGATAGCACAAGTGTTGTAAAAACTCATGTTTGGACAACAATACACTTGCTCTTCTTCTGTATCGTTCCGCAGCACATTTGAATTGATTTTTAACTTGATCCTATTAAACACCTTTCTTTAGCTGCTTACAGCAGAAGTTTTAGAATCAGCACCTGCAGAATGCTTGTCTTCTCCAGAGCTCTCGCAATAAAAGAAGCCATACTCTTTTTGGAATATGGTTCACCTTGCATTCAGATTTCACTTATGCTTCCCACGCTATTGGTGCTTAAATCTTCCTAGGCAGGTGCAATTTGTTTGGGCCTTTTTTGTGTGGTGACAATTTGCTTTCCTCCAATCAAGAAAAAAGAACCACGCTGGATTTAAGCCCAAGGACAATTACATTATGCAACACTATCAACATTTAACTCCCCGCCCCCTTTCCCAGGTCAAATGAAGTTGCTGTATGTGGAAGTACTGCCGTCAAAATTCCTCACTGTTGAAGTGCCATTTAAGGCTGAATGAGACAAGTTGGAAAGATGGCTGGTTTCGACGTTGCTTATAGGCTAGCAGCATTAATTGTTACATATTGTTGCATTTCAGAACAGCCAAGAATCAAACATCACAAGTGACATTCTGCACTGAGAACTGCACACCATTTTCATCTCCTAAACACGCAACAAGTGAAAATGGAAAACTGACTACTGGAGGTATGGTTTCTTTTATTTCTTTCACTGCATACGTTTGTTCAGAAATTTGACAGAAGATGTCTAGTGAACATGCTCTCATCAAGGCCAGAAGGACTCTAGCCCCAGATTCATTCAGCACCTGGCTAAGACATGCCTTGCATCTTATGAACATGGAGTGATTGATTATCACATTCCACAACCACCTGGTCTGGTTTCATGATGTTGTTTTTAGTTGCTGCAGGCACATTTATAATGTAATCATGCCTAGTCTAAAGGTTACATTTATTGGCATTTGATAATTTCTCATTATTATTCATCGTGGATCATCCCTAGATGTGATCAATGTTTGATGTTTCTTATTCTTTGAGGCTGTTTGTGGTTTTGTGATGTTAACACATTGCTGCGGCTTATGGCATTGCACTGGCCTGGCATTCATTGCACCAAATCTAAAGCATCTATTTTCCTGCACAGCAGCATGTAAGCTCATAAAACGTAATTCTTTGGATTTGCTTTTAATGCACCTATACAAATTATGTCCCTGAAGAGGCAACAGCATTTAATTTTATATGCATTATAGGCTCCCTTCAGCCAATAAAAACATCCGCATTAGATCTGTGTGGTGTTTTATTTCACCTTGGGGATTTCCTTTGGTAGACAATGAGCTGCGTTTATCAAAGGCACCGTTTGACAGTCTCGGGAGCATTCTTAATGCTAATTATTTTACCTTGCTGCCTAACAAGGTCCAATAGATTTTCTTAATTGACGGCAAAGGTATCCTTATATCAGAAGGACTGATGGTGCAGATTATGAGTAGTGTTGTTTTAAATGCAGAAATAAAAACTTAAGCCTCCAGTAATGAATAATTTAGGTTAGTGTTGGACATAGCGTGAACCTTTCAGTTCTAAAAGCTGGAGAAAATGTAGCTTGTCAGAGGGATGGCAGCAAAACCCTCCTCCCTGTGGTGCTTGATCTCTTCTTGCTTATAATGTTGGAGGTTATTCCATAATCAGGCTGGCCATCATATTGTCAGCCTCCCTGTCATTTCCAGTGTCTACCGAGTATGCGTATTCTAGTGCCTACCGAGTATGCACATGTGTGGGTTGATCTCCACATGGTAAGTAATTCTAAATGTCACAGGCCAGATAAGAATCAGTTGCCATGGGGAGACCATTCTCAGCAGCAGCTGCACATGGCAACTGAAAAGTGTGTTCCAGCCTTTGAAAAATATTCATGATCAGGAATCTTGCACAGTACATATTAGGAATGTGCAGCAACTACCTTATTCCTCTTGTATCTGTAGTGTGTGGAAGCAGCTGATCAGTTGCAGTTTCTCTCTGTGTCATTTTGATTCTATTTGTTATTTGGTTCCAGATCTGATCTCTTAAATCTGAAGCTCTATTTTGTCCCCGCTATTTAAAAATGGCAACACATTTCCACAAGGGTGGATGTCTCCATTAGAAGTATAAGGATGCCAAATTTCAGGCAGATCCATCTCCAGGGTTTTTTTAAAATTGTTTTTCTTTAAAGAAAAAGTCTCTATTTTTTATTTTCTGCCAGATTTAGATATAAACTGAAACTTGCCAAATCTCAGAAAGATAAGGTTAAGACAGATAAGTATCCAGTCTTCTTCAGTACCATCATAAAACACACATATATACTGAGGTGCTATGAACAGTCCACATAATGATGCTTTTGATGGCATAGCATGACAAAACAAGTTCTTGGGTTATTCTTAGGCAATTCACTACAGGCAGTTTTGTCAAATTCTTGAAAAATCTATTTAAACTAAGTAAAGAGAGCAGGGTGTAATCTGTTGTTGTTGTTTAGTCATTTAGTCGTGTCCGACTCTTCGTGACCCCATGGACCAGAGCACGCCAGGCACTCCTGTCTTCCACTGCCTCCCGCAGTTTGGTCAGACTCATGTTTGTAGCTTTGAGAACACTGTCCAACCATCTCGTCCTCTGTCGTCCCCTTCTCCTTGTGTAATCTACACACATGTTAAAAAGGTTGTGAATATGCTTTTTTTAAAAAAAAATCACTATGAAAAATGCATTGAATTTGCTATAGCCCACAGTCCCCATCTAACGTCACAATTGTATATTGCACTTTACAATACATTCAAAACGTTTTATTTGCAGCTGTATAGCTGAGTCACAGGATTTTTTCCTAGATAAGGGAGTTGGTTTTGCTATCAATAAATAGGTTTGCTTTCACTTTGTTGCTTGTATATTGACTGAAAACAAGATGCAATGGATGTGTTTAGCTCTGTATGAGGGAGAATGGTTACTGGGAAATGGTTTCAAACGTATATGTGAGGCTGGTTGCGTTTTCTTTTTGTCTGCTACTGTGGATGTGTGGTTTTACTGGTTTTATGATGAAAATTAATGGGGGGAGTATTGTTTTATAGTTTGAAATAATGCTTTTGTTTTCTGACTTCTTAGCCACTATGAGTTCGTCAGAAAGGAGGCAAGATATAAGTTTTTAAAATAAGTAAATTCAAACTTGCATAGTTAAGTATAAATCAGGAATACATTTAATAAAATTATTATGGAAGCAGATTTTGAAACACAAATTCTGTGTTGCAAAATGAAATTGGATATACAGTATTTTGAGATGAATTTTCTTACCACTGATAGGTTGATTTAGCTGTGGAGTATTTGATAAGAAAGAAAGAACAGGATAAATAATGGCATGACCCTAACCTCACTGTTCTGACACATCTTGGATTCAGGGTTTGCTTTCAGAAGCCATCTTGGAGTTACCTCAATTACAAAAGGAGAAAGGTGGGTTTTTTCGTTTATAAGAGTTTAGCTTCAATCCATCACCCATGCAGTGCTCAAGCTCTTTGTGGGTGGCTACTGCTGGTGATCTCATACACATTCCTGGTCCATATATATCATGGGTAGGCAAACTAAGGCCTAGGGGCTCGGTCCAGCCCAATCGCCTTCTAAATCGGCCCGTGGATGGTCCAGGAATCAGCATGTTTTTACATGAGTAGAATGTGTGCTTTTATTTAAAATGCATCTCTGGGTTATTTGTGGGGCATAGGAATTCATTCATATTTTTTTTTTCATAATATAGTCCAACCCCCCACAAGGTCTGAGGGACAGTGGACTGGCCCCCTGCTGAAAAAGTTTGCTGACCCCTGATATATATATGGATGTCTTCAAAGCCCCTGTGATTCTGACTCCAGCAGTATTCAAGTCTTGTGGGTTTTCCTTGAAGAAGCTTCTCTGATAACTGAGACCTGCTCTTCACTTACTACCAGACTATCTGTTTTAGAAGGCATTCTGTACAGAAGATGTCCCTTCACCATTGCACTTAGGAGACAATGACAATGGGTGCTTATAGAGTATTCAGACACATGCTGGAAGCACCCATTGTCAACTTTCTCACTTCAGATGGATTCAGAAGGAAGCTGTTTGTATTTTGGATTAACTGTAAACTGTGCTAAAGGCAGTCATGGTGAAGATTATAGGGCCAACATAGTATTTTGTAGACAGCTTCTTTCTGGCCATACCGAGACATGCTTCCTTCTCTGGAATTGGTGCGTTCACTCTATAATATTTCTAGTTGCCACTGAACAGGCAGGAAATGGTATCCCATTCAACAAGCGGCCATTGGTTCTGGATTAATTGGACTCAGCTGTTGGTGTTTTGTTCACTCTGTTTTCCAGTTCTTATTGGCCTTCATGCCACCTGGCAAAGAAATACGCAGTAAAGTGGCTGTCCTTGCTTCAGGCACATGTAGTATAGGTAACCACCAGCAAGAATGATGGGGACATGAATGGCTTTCCTACTGCCTAAGCTTCACGTGCAAAGTCATACTGCTATACTATGCACATGCACTCTGGGTCCTTAGAGAACAGCAGCTACTAGATTGTATTGAACTGTAAATTTCAAGGAAGGGTCAAATCAGTCATAGACTATTTTGAGAAAGGCGGGTAACTGGTTCTAGAAAATAGGAGACCCTTAATTTTGTCAGTCTTATGGAAATTGCCTTAACTCTGAAGTCATGTTGATGTTTGTTGAGCTGCTATCATGAAAACTGCATTAGCTCTCTGGAGGCACACATCAGTCTAAATGTTTGTCATTGTATATAATGATTAAAGAGCTCTCTGAGGTCTGTAAGCTCAAATAAGTATATGATTTTATGTAAGTGTTAAAAGAGAAATCTGTGCCATTGTTCAAAAGCAGCTGCCAGACCTAAAGTTCACGCAAAAACCCTTTCAAGATCATGTAAAATTGCACTGATGTGGCAGCTGCTAATTTGGTTCTCTGTAAAGAATCTTTCCCATCTGTTCACCAAAGATTTTGAAAGATTCCTTTTTCTTTGCATGTCATTGCTTTCCCCCCTTCCTTTGCTCATATTTCCTCTCAAATTATTTATATATCATAGTCAGGATTTTAAAAATGACTGCCCATTTTGTATCCTTGCATTGTTTATTTTATAGTTTGATTACAGAACTTTAATCATAGGCTGTAGTTCACAGTTACACATGTGCAACTGTTCCTCAGATTGTTTGGAATCCCTCACATGCTAGTCAATTAATGGACTTTGTAAGTGGTTGTTTGTGCTTGCTCATTTGTCCTCTGTGGCTTGTTCTTCTGTCACTTTACTCTCAGCTCTCTTTCATCTTTGGTAAGCATGGGTGCTTGTGCATTAGCCATATTCTGTGGTATTCAGAGGGAAAAAAACCAGATTTTGAAAAGCTAAACAGCTCAATGAAAGATACAAAGCTTGGGGAAATAAAGAGGTGTTGGTAGACAGGTGAGCCTCTTTGAGGAGTGCATTCGAAAGCTAGGTGCCACCACCGAAAAGACCTCTTTCCACTCCCTTGTAAACTGTATTCTCAAATGTGGTGAAAAACATAAAGATACCCACAGCTGCCTTGGCCCACATCCTGAACTCCTCTGCAAGCAGGATTCACCATCCACTTTGGTAGAGGCAAATATTTTCCCCATCTCTCAGCATGTGCAGGATTGTTCCTTCTACTGTAATGAATGGGGAAGCTCTTCAGG